TCTATCTATCTATCTATCTATCTATCTATCTATCTATCTATCTATCTATCTATCTCTATATTTAACTATCTTTGTATCTCTCTCTCTCTCATCTCTGGTTCAGTTTGAATGGGGGCGTCAGCTGGCTATCTCCAGATGTAGTTAATAGTAGGAACACAGTATACGCTTCCATTAACTCCACCAGCTGTAATTTACAGGTAGGTCCTCCACTTACAACGGTCCATTTAGTGTCCTTTTGAACTTAACACCTCTGAAAAAGTGGCTTATGACCATTTTTCATAACGGAGAACCAACAGCTTCCCATCGTGGTTTTTTTTACCTCTTCGGCAGCTTGCTTGGAACTCAGATCGGCTTCGTCCTTGTGAGCCGAGGGGGCCTGAGACCTGTAGGCCGGCTGGTACTGGAATTTCCGGAGCATCTGGGCGTAGTCAGCCATGGAGCGACCGTAGTTCCAAAAAGTTGGGCTGTTTGACGGAGAGCCGGAATCTGAACTGCCTGCAATGAGCCAAAGAAACTTGAGCAAAGCAGGTACTGGATCTTACTACAGCTGTTGTGGTTAGCCGGCAGCAGGTGTGGACGGCTGAGGAGAGCGAGGACTCAGGTGAGGGGCCAGGACCATGAGGGAGTGGACTGCTGCTTTCCGAGATTGTGGGGGCTGGCAGCAGCAATGATGAGGAGGTTCCTGAGGAGCCTGTGCCAAGTGCGTGTGCACGAAGGATTGCTCGGAGGAAAGAACAGTTACAACAGCACGGGGGACTCGGGAGTAAGGCTGCAAGGTGATGGCCCCTCCTTCAAGAAAATAAAAGCCAGCTGTGAAATTAACCTTCTTTGCAGAAGGCAAAGACGTTTTGAAACTCAGCCTCGTGGACATTACAGTTGGTATTTGAAGACTCTTGTAAACTATTTCTTATCTGTTATTTTTTTTTGTCGGACTTGAAAAACTTGGCCAGGCTCTTTCTCGTCAGAGCTTATTAGTTGGAAGCAGCCTTTGATCTGTGAAGAAACAGGGATTCTTAGCTGAAACATTAAAAGGTTGCGCTGCTGCCTTTGTCTTGGAACCAGGCTTGGGTCAGAACCACAGCCTCCTACGGCTGGGTGGCAAAGTCAGAGAGCCAGATTGAAGAGGTGGTGAAGATGGTGACTAGAAACTAGGAGACGGTGAGTTCTAGTCCCGCCTTAGGCACAAAACCCGGCTGGGTGACTGGGTTTATCACTCCAAGAGACTAGAACTCACTGACTCCTAGTAATTGGACCAATGATGCCCAACTGGCTTTCATTCCTAAGGTGGGACTAGAACTCCTGGTCTCCTGGTGACTGGCCTAAAGTCACCCAGTCAGCTTTCATGCCTAAGAAGGGACTAGAACTCCCAGGCTCCTAGTAACTGGACCAAATGTCACCCAGCTGACTGTCATGCCTAAGGGGAGGACTAGAACTCCCGGTGACTGGCCTAAAGTCACCCAGTCAGCTTTCACGCTTAAGGCGGGACTAGAACTCCTGGTCTCCTGGTGATTGGCACATAGTCACTCAGTCAGCTTTCATGCTTA